TCAGCTTTTTAAGAATAACATATATGTGTTTTTACAAGACAATATCTGGTGCAAAATATATGGGTTCTTATTGTGATAAATTCCCTTGAGAGGGCCTTAAATGTCATTCTTCCATTAATTTTTACCATCATACACATGCTTATATATTTACTGAAAATAAGGTTAGATTAAAAGTGTTACAACAGTACCACCTAATTTTATTTTTGTAATCTACATTGATATTGATGTTGATGATTTTCTTTCATTGTCATGCAAACCTTCCACAAGGGTAATATTATGAGCCTAATATTGGAAGCCTCACAAGTAAAGTAGAGTTTGTAAGTTTAAGGGGCACTCCATTCAAATGGGTTAGTCTTTTGGGATAAACTCTCCCTATCAACTTATACTCATAATATTGGTGCTTTTGATGAAAGGTCAATATCATAGAAATGACTACTCATAGATGGTTTTGATCAACTGGAAGCTAAGCGAAATGTCATGGAGTGAAGTTATTGGGGACATCGGCTCTTAAATGGGGTGGCATTGTTGAGTCCAACATTGAGATGTAATTTGATTAATGAATATTTTAAAAAGGAAAAGTTATCACAATAATACAAGGGTAGAAGTAGAACAATGGATATGGAGCTAGCTAGAGTAGGAAATGAAAGACGGTTGAACTAAAAATATTAATTAATTAATAATCACAGAACTGAGGCTAAATCTTTATAATACGAAGAGTATGAGTTTGTTTGTTCTTTGGCCCGCAATATCTGGGCTATGATTTCATGCAAAGAACTTTTTTTTTTTCTGGGCCAATTCATGCAAAGCACTTGGAAGTTGAAAGTTTAAATTTTATAATAAATGTTTTTGGTTTTTGTATTTTGGATGAGACAGATTAATTTCAAAAAATGGACAAAATACCCGTAATATATCCCTTTGAGCTTTAGATCTATTGCAAATAAGATCCCTCATTTATGGATGTTTAAAATCACACCCTCAACATTCAGATATTGACACACCTCCATACTATTAAAATGTTGGTTAGATTTGATGTAAGCCACATTAGATTATTTTAAAAATCATATTTCTAAATTGTAAATTTCATAATAAGGATGACTCATTAATTTTAGTGGAAAGCTTATAAATTGTCACACTGTTTTAATTTAGAACTCAATTGATATAAAAAATACATTCATTTACAAATCTCTAATACGTTAGTTGAGCTATGAATTTTTAAAGGATGACTTATACTAAATTAAGTAGGCTCCTCAAAGTAGATTTGAGCTGTGAATTTTTCGTTAATAAAATATTATTGAAATAAAATTAACTAATATTTTTTAATTATGCACTGCTATTGTCTTTAGCAAAGTAGTTAGTCACCTTGTAATTAGTTAAAATGACTGGTCAAAATGATACTTTGGTATTTTACATGAGTAAAAAATAACATCAGTCTCTTGGCATTTATTTATAATTTTGGAGACTTAATCAACATTAATTTTCTGACATGTTTTCTATAATTTTTCGTGTTAACTTAATGATCAAAATAATGGAGATATGGAGGTTGAATGAGGGGCAACATTTCATCCTTCTTAATACTTGAGGAATGATATGGTGGCACCCTAAGGTGACTAGTGTATGTAAAAAAAATTAAAAAATGCACCTTAACTCTAATATTTCTTATTACTTTACACTTATCATGACTCGTGTTATTTAGATACATATGGTAAACAACCATGATGCCTCAAAGTGAAAGTCACAACTCACAACTTCCTGAAAATAACTTTTCCGAGAGTCTTAACAGCACTAGTGACAACATTTGGACACTCTTAAGTGTCCACAATTGAGAGGTAGAGTTTCAATGCAAGAATTATAGCAAGATCAATGAACATATCCTGGAAAGGAGCCCAAATGTAAGTTCTTATATCCTTTTGGAATTTAACAAGTATATTGAAAGTAAACCTGTTTTCCAACATGTTAAATGGAAATCTCTCACTCAAGATTGGAAACATCTAAAAGCTTTTATTCTATAAAATTTGTCAAGAAATCATATTTCAGGTATCATTCCAACAACCATAGGTAGCTCACAAAATTTGTAGAATCTCTCCATAGCAAATTACAAGGGCAGATTTGAGAATCACTTGGAATTTCCTAAGCTTAGTAAAGCTGGACCTCTCCCAAAATAATTTGTCTGGTGAGATTCCTAAATCGCTAGTGTTGCACTCCCACAAGTTCATGAGTTGTGACAAGTAATAAAGTGTAAGTAGAGTATTATTCTCACAGAGATTTGTTTAAAACAAGTGACCATGCAAAAGACTTAGCAAATTTAATTAAGTTGAGCAGAACACAATTAATTGAGAAAGTTGATTTTGCAAATTATATTAAAATTAAAAAAATACAGAAAAGCGATTGATTCTCAAACTTCAAGCATAAATTGGGACCTAGGATTATTTTATCCCTCTTGCATTTCATAACACTAAATGCATCTCTTCTCATAAATGTTTTTAATGAAAATAAGTGTTAGTCTGTGGTTCTAAAAATACTTGAACAAGCTATCTTAAGTCATGAAAAAGTGTTTAGTTAACTTAATTGTTCAATCTCTTGTTACAATCGATAAAACCCAATTTTAAGCACCTACCCCTAATGTGGCTATGCAAGGTTAGTAAGTAATATCTCTATCTTGCTAACAAAACCATCCATTCATGTACAAATTTCAAGTTCTTGCACTATTTTACCCAAGTTCTATACTTAAACTAGCCCTCTCAAGCATCATTCAAGTGAAACCAACATAAAAAAGGTGGAGTTTAGCTACTCATAAATAACAAGAAGCTACAAATACACAAATTATTCATAGCCATGTTAGATTACTTGAGTAATAACCTATTGAAATTAATGTCAATTCAACGCATTTTCCTACACTTTATTTGATGAATTAGATCAATTGTGAATATTTTAGGTTTAAATATAGGAAAATGAGCTTTATTTCAGACTTACCTAGAAAATAGAATTTATTGAGAATTTTGCAAAGACTTTTACCTTGATTTTAAACTTTAAAGATCTCATAGTTGTATCTACTATTTCAGGTGATTTATTTTAGGTAATTTTAAAGATAGATAGCCAAATGATGATTGAAGATGCATATGGAAACATAATAGCAGAAAAAGTAGAGCCAAAAGAGAAGAGTAGAGGCTCTGTGTCATGTGCTGCAGCGCATGCACAGTGCACCATGGCATGTGGCATAGAGAGGGAGTCTTGAGATGCAAGAGCACTATGGTGCATTAACAACATGCCGCAACATGCTGTGGTACACGACTTAAATCCTGCTGTGCGTTTTGAGCTGTAAAATGGAAAAATTAGGATAGATAAGCCATAAACACACCTCCGGACACTAGATTGCAATTTTTAGAGATTCTTTGAGGCTTGCTTTGCTAGGATTTGGGGTTCTTATAGGAGAGTTGGCCAAGGATTGAAGATTTGAAAAGATTCAAGTGGATTTTCTTCAATTTTTCTTCTTCCCTTCCCTTTTCTCTCTTTGTTTCTGATATGGATGCTGTATATTTTAACATTCGTGGCTCTTTTTTAAACATGGGTAGCTAGTTCTCTTGTTCTAGGATTATTTCAAACCTTTGTAATGGATTAAGACTTGAATATTCCTCTGTTTTGGTAGTTAATGATATATATGTGTGTTTATTTTATCCCATGCTTAATGCTTTTAAGTACTTGATCACCATTTAGATTGTTTTTTTCACTTGAGCTGTGCTTGAGAGAGCTAATTTAGGTGTAGAACTTGGATAAACTAATATTGGACTTGAAATTTACAAAGATAAATAGATGGTTTTGTTGGTAAATAGTCACATTAGGATTGAAGCTTAAAATTGGTTTTTAGTACTTATTTTCGAGAGATTGTGAAATTCTTTCAAATATACTTGATTTTCACTTGAGAAAGCTTTTTCAAGTGAATTGGAATCTTAGACTAACACTTTTTTCATTAAAAATTCATTTGAGAGGAATTAATTTAAGTTTTATGAATATAAAAGGGAGAGATAATCCTAGATCCTCACCTCTAATCGTCAAGGTTTCAACAAGTTTTTTAATTCTTTAAAACAATTTTAATCAAATTTTCATTACTTATCAATAAAATGTTATAAACATACTCTTGATTTTGCTCAACCTATCTTAAAGCTTAATAGTAAATAAACCTTCATTTGCCTAAATCCTCATGGGAATGATAACTTAGAATATTCTACATTTGTGATGACCCGTACGCTTGTGGTAATGCTTGACGGCGAACAAGTTCTTGGCGTCATTGCTAGGGATAGCTGCAATTGTTTTGTGTTGGTTAATTTTTGCTATTGTGTTAGTAGGTTACGCTTGAGCTTTTAGTTTAACATTTTCATTGGTATAGGTAGTTAAGTAGTTTACTTAGTTATTACAAGTTTTATAGTTTTAATTTTTATTGATAAGTTTGATACTTGTTCCTTTTGTTTTCACCTTGTAGGTACCTTATTGACGCATGCAAGGACTCTTTCCTGATAAACTTGAACTTGTTCTTGAAGGAGTGGTTGAAGAGAAGGCGAAACAAGTGAGGGAAGTTTGTTCTTGAATTTGGAGAAGACATTCCTCCTCTTTGGCAACAATATGGAGGGGGCTGATCAAGATGAGAACGATATATTCACTTTAGATGACTTTTCTTGATCAGGAAGCACAATCTATCATTAACCGAAAATTCAAGCTAGAAACTTCAAGCTTAAGCAAGTGATGATTCAAATGATATTAATGTATGGACAGTTTGGGGTAATGCTGATGAAGACCCCAATGATCACCTCACAAGATTTGTAGAGGTATGTGAGAATTTCAAGCAAAATGATGTCTTTAAGGATGCATTAAGATTGCAGTTATTTCTAATATCTTTGAAGAACAAAGCAAGAGCTTGGTTGAGTTCTCTTCCTGAGTACTCAATTGAAACATGGGATGATTTGGTAGCTAAGTTCAAGGCAAGGTTCATTTTGAGAGGTAGAAGAGCAACATTGAGAGGTGAGCTTCTCAATTTTGAACAACAAATCCAGGGGAACTTTTCTATGAGGCTTGGGAATGATTCAAGGGGTTAGTGAGAAGTTGTCTTAATCATGAATAAAAAAAGTATGTCCTCATGGAAGCTTTTTTAGAATGGGTTAGATGATGCAAGTGACTATGTGAACAATGCTTCTAATGGTAGAATTGGCAAGATGAAAGTTAATGAGTTATACAACTTATATGAAGACATTGCTTCTAGTACCATGCAACAATCCCATAAGAGGAGACATGCTAAGGAGTTTCACAAGAATCTAGCTCTTCTAAGGAGCTTACTTCTCAATTAGAGGCTATAAATTGAAGATTTGATAGTCTTGAGCTTCAAATGAAAAGAGGAAGTTCCTAGAGAAATGTATTACAGCTTCATGCCAAGCTTGTGAGCATTATGGTGAAGGATGTCACACACCACTTATAGGGATAATACCTATATCCCAAAAGTCTTTACTCAAGAAATATCTAATTTATAAACCATGAAGACATTTTATAATAAGTTAAATCATCTTCAATATAACCCATGTGAAAAAAGATTTAACATTTTTGTAAAAATTCAATAGGATCTCCCTTAAAATAAAATCTCCAAAACAAATTTACAAATAATTTTACAAAACAATAGTAGCACAAAAGGAACTCTCTTCCAATCAACGAATAACAAAATATAAAATAATAAGGATGAGGACCCTAACTATAGCTTGTGTGGAGCACCTGACATAAGAAATTTACTTTAAAGAAGTTTGATTATAGCTTTATATCTCAATTGAATATTACAGCCCCTCAAGGATTAGCGGAAGGCATAACATCAACTAACATATTTGAGACCACAAAATAATGATTTTCAGTGAATAACGTCCCAACAATAAGTAATAGAACATGAATAAAAAGGAAAAGTTTAAAGTAATTGTGTGAGTCAAAGAGACAACAGCTTTTATAAAAAATTTAATAAACTTTAAAATAGAATAGCTCTAAAAATTGTAAAATAAGTCTTAAATCATTGAACTATCATGGAAAATATTAATAGGACTTGATTCCAAGAAGCACATAAATAAATAAATATTTATAAACAAATTAGGAATAACATCAATGGAATCATCAAATAGTGTGGATTCATAATTATAGGACTAATTAGAACAATTAACAAATGTGGACACAGAGTCCCAGAGGGTAAATAACCAAACGCGGGCTATGCCCACAAAAGCAAATGTAGTCACACAGTCCACGAGAGTAAGTAACCAAGTGCAGCTGAAGCTACGAAACAAATGTGGACATACAGTCCACGAAGGTAATGCTAACCAAATGCTGTCGAAGCTACGAACAAACATGAGTATGATGCTCATGAATAACCACCCCCCTCCGTTCCACGTGCATTGGCCATCGCACGGGGCTAGCATCTCCTATAAACACCCTGCTAGCTAGGTGTACACATGGCACACCAAGGGCTAACAAGACTGCCGTTAGCAACCAGTGTTCTGTATAAAGTCCCTTTTTAAAATCATTTTCAAACATGCGAGAAAATCATCACTTTTAAGATACAGTTCTCATTCTCAAATCAAACTCGCATGAATACTTTTAAGCATTAAAAACTTGCTAGAATAAAATTTCATATCCAATGCTCATAGCTTGCATTTTATTGAATAATCAAAATTGCCAATGCTAATGAAAACGAATTTTATTAATCCTGAAAGGATATCTCATAAGGGGTAAAAATATATATGCTATGATGAATCATTTTTCACCACCATCTTGAAACTTAAAATGAAGAAATTTAATTAACAAACTATCCACTAATCGACATAATTATTATTAAAATAATCAATGTAACAATATAAATTTCAATAAGAAAAATTAATTGATAAATTAGTTGAGACGCTATCCACTTACCTTTAGTATGCCCAAGACCAAAATTCATTTCTTTCGACTTCATCCATGTCTCCCTTCCTCTAAGCACCCTATTCAAGAT